ACTATGGACAATTATATCGCGGATAGAGATAGATGCTTAATTACGGCGTGACCTCAGCTGCCAGGTCATCGTACAATCAAACGTCGCTAGATGTATTTGGCAGGCCTGCGGCATAATCAGCTACTTCAGTAGCACCCGATAGAAGTACACTCCACTATAAGGTTATACTGCTGTTTTCTATGAGAAGTTGATGAAGTTCACCAATCTTGGCCAACGGCACAGCATAAAGCAGCCGACTATGCTGTTCTGCAGCGCACCCTTGTTAGAACCGGCACCTGCGCCCACTAGCGGCTGCTTTGATTAATTCTACTCATGCATGATTCGCCACTTGCCGTCGGCAGTTTTGACACGGAAGTTGGCACCGACTTTACCCGTTTCTTGCTTGCACAAAAAAATCATTACTGACGTCATACATTTCTCTTGACAAATGTCACTGCTATATGACGCAATGTTTGGCTCTGGAAACCAAGTCGTTTTTTTGACGCGCCACCTTTTATGAAAGCAACTTGAGCAGATGGTTTCTTATCTCCGCATTGGAATGTTCCGTCAGATCAGAATGAAATGATTCCATGGATCCTTTAAGGTAGCTGACTCAATTCTTGCAATCAGTGCTCCTTAAATTTGTTTAAGAACAAATTCACTCATTAATAGTAATGTACTCTCCTTTTTTGGTACCAACTTTACTATTCTGTTTACTTCAACTTCTTGCAATTTCTCACAAACAACCAGCAGGACAATTACTCCAAGTAGACAGAGCATCTACCGGGGTTAACGAGGGGATACTTGCAGTCCCAATACTTACTTTGATCACTTCATTTTCTATATAATACTCTTTATCGTCACAAATATAAGAGTCCTCATCTCTCCACAACGTGAGTTCATCACATGGCAGTGCTGATTCAGCAGTACCGTTATGTCGTAGCAAGATTGTGTCGCCCAATTTAGCTACATGTTCAGGTCCTACTACTCGTAACTGCAGCTTTTCTAAAGCTCCACCAACTTTGGACCGAAAGACTGCGACATCCTTGTCGTATCTACTCACCACAGACCCTGTCACACGAGACACTAGCTTATATATATATGTGCCATCTCACTCTATGACATACAGTCATTGCTTCCCGACCCAATAAAGATACACTCCTGAACACGCGATAAAGGACCCTTTTCTCTGTGTCAGCCGTAGACCGCGGCTCATTGCCGCTTCAGCCTACCGGGTGTCCCTAAAAATGTAATTTCTATCGATTTTGTACAATTCCACGCCCGGTACTGAAATTTTCGCAATTCTTTTCTTTCCTGATAAAAGTGATTCCATGACTCTTCAAATACCACCAGGAGAGAAAAATGTGGCTCCTAATTTCTAATCTATCAATTGCTCTAAACGTTTTGTCCACATGATACCTAGACTGAAAATATAACTTAAAAAAAGATTTAGGACGAGACGGCGTCCCAGGCATTCAAAGTGCTTGAACTTCACTTTAAGGCTCACGTAAGCTTCGACATGTCCCGTCGCAAAAGCACGGTATTCGTATCCAAATTCGACATTTGCGGTGCCTTCATATAATGTTAGCTGTCTTAGGCAGTGGCGCATTTCATGTAATTGACGCTTTCGAATCAATTAAACTTTCTGCGGCTTTACCTACCTCAAAAGGCTGGTGTTTAAGCAACATCTCTTATCTGTGGGTCCCATATCTCTTTCAGAGGCTACGAAATTGTAGAGAAACAAAATACTTTTTCTGGAAGGTCGAGCTGCACCTGCTGGAACTTAACGTTCTCTAATTTGCTGGAGTGTATTGCGGGGAATTTCAAGCCTTCCTACCTCTCAGCTGATAGTGATGGGGCATACAAGGCGCAGATGTTTAATATTATCGCGAGTGTCGGTACAGAAATTGCGCTCCGGGATGCAGAATGCGCCGATGCGATCGGTTCGGTGACAATCCTTGAGAATAGCAGCTGAACTGCCTCTGGGACAGGGTCTGATGCGGCGATAATAGCTTTCGTACTCCTAATTATAGTCCGCTTGTTCTTGCATCTCATGACGAGTGGTTAGGACCTCAGATGCACTTTTTACCTCCTGGTTGGGTGTTGCAAACACCCACGACATCTTCCGCCACAACAAGGTCTTTCATGCATGTTGAAAGCTTCTCGTTCTAATGGCACCACGCGTCAGGATTCAATTTGCAAAAGTTCTGTAGCTTCCTATTGAATGCAGAACGCGCTGCTACTTTGTTTGAATCACGATCGAAACTCATCGGTTTCTTAATTTCGTTGTATGAGGGAGATAATGTCTCCGTCCTGAATCTCCATGTGCTATATGCTCAAAATCAGCCACCTGAAGGTGGATGTCATTTATACTCACCGGTCTGTAGTAAGGGCGGTCCAGGAGGTGCAATTATATGATGGTGAGCGCACTTAGTCAATCAAATCCTGTTTTTGGTCCATTGATCGCTCGTCTTCTGATACCGTCGCGATCAGCAATAGACAAAGGTTGTCTAAGTTTGCTGCTCTGGGACAGGTACTCGAACATATCATGTTCACTTCTTAGCGAGGATACAAACCTTTCCCTTTCGTGACTCGGTCGTGAAATTGACTTTCACTGCTACCAAGTGCAACGGAGTTGTTCTGTACTGTTCACAGAAGGATCTTCGACTAATAGAGTCTTAGAGACAAGCGCACATGTGCTGGGATCATTCGCTTCGCCCAGGAGAGTAACCGAGAGTCTCCGAAGCACTTGATGAATTAGTTAGCCTTGCAATCTTAAGAGTGATATATGTAGGCTTTCTTCTCGTAAGACTTGTGCTAAATAGATATGTTTCGACCAGGTTTGCTAACCTCTGAGTGGACTTTGAATGTAACTCTCCTCTGTGCAAAGTGCACGGAACCCCGTTGCAGAATTTCTGTGCGTTGTTAATTATTATGGTCGAAGCTTCATCGTTTTATGGTGTACGGTAACCCCGTTGCATCTACAATGCGTCTGACGCGCGTGCATCATTTTTCAATAATCACTAAATATCATATCACGTTGGATGACGCCTATAAGATAAAGATTTGATATGTTTTGCTGTCGACGTATGCGTATTACACTTTGTGCGGTATAAGCGACGAGATGTCAACCAGGTTCAATCGGGTGAGCCGAAGTAGCAAGTGTTTAATATGCACGCAGACCTTATACAAAACAGGATTAAGCCTGTGACCTTTATTTAAATGTTAAACTCACACTTTGGAGTAGTCATGAAAGGCAAGACCAACTACTTTTGCTGCAAGCGTACCGCTCGACAAGCCAGGCAGCACCTGGCTTGTCTTTTCTACTTAATTCTATACAACGAATGCTTGAGGATAGCGGGACGGACCTTTCCTTTTCAAATCATTACTCTTGTAATGTAGCTCACCATGGTACTTGTGAGCTTTCCCAAAAGGACATTATATTGTAAACCAGAGCTGAAAGATATCACTCCATCACTCTTAAGCTTTATATATGATCAACTCAATAGAAATTACCAAGACTGCGGGGCACGTTGAAAACGTGACGCGAAGCCTTTCATCTCGGGTGTACCTAAGCTTTTTCAAAGCCTATCTACCAATTGATCAGGAACGATGCCTTTTGTGCCTAGACGGCGTCGTCCGGCGACGAGGCACTCGTGTGAGAGAGAAATGACATGGAATACCCCACCATT